AATCGAATATGCTCTTTTGTTATTGCCATCGTGAACATTACTGATTTTTGAGGTTATGTGCATCAAATGCCAAACCGTATGGCATTTTAGAAGGCCAAATGTCAACGCTTTAAAATCGCAAAAGGGCGGGAAGATATATAAAATTTAAATTGTTATTTCGGTTGTATGAAATCTAACGCTCAGAACTTTTTTGTACACCTAACACTTCAGAAAAGAAATTAAAGTAAGTAAGATGCTATTAGTAAAGAGATATTTGGCAATTTCAAAACAACAATTTAACTCTTCTTTATGTTTTTCCTTTAATATTTTAATGTTTTCTAGATAATAAAAATCTTATTTTTTCTTATTTTCTTTTATTAGGAATGCAATCCGTATACTGCTATGTGCTTTTTATGGAATTACAAGAACGATAAACAATATTATATTATACGACAGGCAAGTATTTAATTTTGGAATAATTTGTAAACTGAATATTAAATACACTTTTTTTATCAGTGCATCCATTTAATTTATGGCACATATTTTATACATTCATTATACATCATACATCATATATTATTTCAAATCAAATATGTTGTAATTTTTGTACTTTTGCTTGAAACAATAAAAACATTTTTAGCAAAATGTATAAGAAATATATCTAACATTTTGCTAGAATAGCTAGTGCTTAAAATTCGAGAAGTAATGATTTAGGTAAGGATAGAAGGATCGATGAAAAAACTGGAAAGACCGGCTTACCAACTTATATACGAGAAAGAGCCGTTGTATTGTAAAATTCGTGCCCATCTGTGTCATCAAGATCAGCCGGCTGACTGGGATGATTTGAATCGACGGTACAATGAAATATTCGAAGCGCACAATGAAGAGGATCTACCAATGCCGGAGCATGTGTAAGTCTTCAACTGAATTTGAATAATTTGTAGCAAATGCATAGTTTTAATGCTCGATCGATTACAAATAAAAATAATATTTTTTGTATTTCCAGCGTGGCTTATAAATTATTGCCCGAGGTGATGGAATTTTATTATGCGAGAGATCAATTAATTGCCGATCGAATACGTTATAAAAAGAATGAAAAAAATCATTGGGAATATCAGAGAATAACAGCATAATTTTATTGTGTGTATGTTATATGTATACGCGCCACACATACACACACGCGCGCACGCGCGCGCGTGCGCGTGCTTTTTATCAGAGCATTTGAATTGAGTTGTTATATTGCTCAAAATTTAAGAATTATCTCTGATTCTTATAATCGTAAACATTATTATACTAAATCTTTGTTATCTCTAATCACGATCAAATGAAGTTCTATACATGTAAAAGCTCAAATAATTTTTAATGACAATAATAAAAAATATTTTGCACAGTAAATGTATTAACTATGTATTAACAATGATATTTTTACTAATGATTACTTAAGTTTATATTATATTGAATTTTATATATATATATATTTATATATGTTTATTTTTAGTACATTTTTTATATGTATATATGCTTTCTATATTAAACACATCAAAATGTATTATTATATTTTATTATATTAAAAAAATTAACTTTCAGTCGTAGATTATAAATTTTCAAATAAAATAGTTTAAAATTATATATTAGAATTAAAATTTTTGAAAATAAGTATCGATTTCAAGTATGTGTTTTGTTTGCCAGTGAAATCTTCCCGCTAATATAACGTTACATAAAACATTTCATACTTTAACTGTGGCGTCCAATAATCGCGCAACATTTTCGTCACGTGACTTGCGCGGTAGTTCGACGCAACAAAGTGGGAATGTTGCTCGCCAATTGGTCATACAACGCGCATTTACAATGCCTTAGCAGCGCGCATAGTGCTTCGTAGAGGAAACTTAGATGCTCGATAGCCTAAAAGCGTGCTCCCGGCTCACGACACATGCAGTATGTCGGAAGCACGTGCGTAAGGAGGAAGTACAATATTAAAATTTAAAAAATGCCTAGCCACGCATCCACCGGACTCAATGGCGCGACCGATAGTTATCTTCTTTTAGAAGATGGTAATGTTTTCTTGGGAAAGCGCTTCGGTGCCGACGTATCCGTCGATGGTGAAATTGGTAAGTTTGTGCGCAAGCCGAACACGTGCTTCTTTTACAAGTCGGAGCTGAATGCGTGCTTGTGCACGCTTTCCTCCAAGTTAATCTTCTTGAATCAACAAGTATTAAAGGACAGAGTACATTATTGTGATTTTCTCGCATTTGCATGATAGAGACTTGTTAGCATATTACGAGTGACAATATTCCCTTGTACCGACCGACACATGCAAAAAAGAAACGTGCGGCATGTTTTCGTGTAATTTATCGATGACACGTTTGTGATGCTGCGTCATTGCTTAATCTTAAATATGCGCACAAATTATGTCTTGAGTGTTCTAATTTGCAAAATGATATAACGATTGTCAATTAAATTATTTATAGACAGTTACAGATATTTGTATGGTAGAACATTACTGTTTGGCCATACATTGTTTTTTATCAGTCCAAAAGCTGTAGATATGATAAAATTATATTCATTTAGAGCATGGGATGCGTTTTTAAAAGCATGCCTTCTATTAAGTATATTAAGTATATTTTTAAAGTGTAATATATATCGATCCGTTATTACTAAACAGCGCGTCCATAAAACCATTTTTTTTATTTAATCATTGATATCTTTAATAAAAAGTAGATTTGTAAAACACATATTTTCTTACAGATCTTTAAAAAATTTAAAACTAAAATTAAAATTTTTAAATTAATATGTTTTTATGAAAGGTAAGTGAATAAAAAATATTTCGAAAAGTATGGAAAATAATTGAATAATTAAATGAATTGCTAAATAATTGAATAAATGTGTTTCCTCACAAGATCGTTTTTAATAATAAAAAATTGTATTAAGAATTAAAAATCATATTTTATTTAAATATTAATTAATATTAAATTACACATATTAAAATATAATTATAAAATATATTTATTTTTATTTTTAATAAAAGATTTTGAATTAAAAAGATAATACTAACAAGAATTATTAATATACACAAATGTTATATTTCTTTAAATTGTTTATAAATTTTTTTGAAAATTAATAAAAATGTATCATATATCTAAATGCCACAGAAATCATTACTACAATTTCATATATTATTTTTTAAATTTATTTTGAACTTAAATTGTATTATTAGTTTCCCTTCGTTGTTATTTCAAGTTGACCACTGGTGATAAGCCGTCTAAATGATTACGTTGCACATGTGGATGCAACACGTGGATGCCTTGTTTGATACGTCGGTTAAATCTCTTAGTCTTAAATTACTTAAGGGAAATATATTTAATATATATTTTAAAATAAATTCTAAAGAATAGAAATAGAAGAGAAATTGAGAAAGAGGAAAAAGAAGAAAAAGGACGATCTTTTAAAATTAGCTTAATATATTTTGCAATATTAATATTATCACAAATATATATTTTATATATATTTTTAAAAATATATATTTAGATGTATATTTTATACATATTTTATTATTATAAACATTATTAGTATAAATATATTGTTAATTTGTAATAAATACGTGATACGTAATTATACATATATCATATAAGAAAATACATCAAAGGATCTTTCGAATTAATGCAAACTTATTGATGCACGCACACACATACAATAAATTCTCACTTATAAATCCTCACGTCGGATTATATTGTGCGGAAAATTTTCAAGCCTACGTACTGCATAACGGCAATAAAAAGTTAACATAGCGTAGAACAAATTCCTTTCGAAAGGTCAAGCAAAAATTGATCTTTTGCTAACAACAGTATTATTAATTCTTTGCCAAAAGTTCGTCAGCTTTTGATAAATCATAAATTTTGAGAAAAAAAAGTAATACACATTTTAAATTGAACTGTTTTTATCTTATTACTGCATTTAGCATATAGTAATATAGTAATCGATAAATTTAGAAACTGATTTGTAGAACCTGATTAAAAATTCAAAGTCCGTGAGCGTGATAATAAATTTTTCTCGCGAGAATAGAAATTAATATATCAATTTTGTCAACTAATATAATATTAGCAGCAAAATATGTTTTACAATATTAATTTTTGAATTAAACTATTTTGTCCCGATAAATTTTATATACTAATTTTTATATCTTACATTTTTAGTTAAAACTGTGGACGTAACACATTTTTGGATTTACATTTTATATTTTACTATAAATATATTATGTAAAACGTAATACATATACATTTGTGTACATGTGAATAATAAAGATTATTTATTTGCAGTTTTCCAGACTGGTATGATCGGTTATCCGGAGTCGCTTACGGATCCATCTTATCATGCTCAGATTCTAGTGCTTACATATCCACTCATAGGAAACTATGGTGTTTTTAATAATGAAAAAGACGAATATGGTATACCATAGTAAGTGGTCGTAATCATAAATTTAATTTGGCATCTATGAACAATTTTATGTAGTAATAATATTTATTTTTGTGCATCGCACGTTAATTGGCAAATTAAAGTTAAATATGTACTTTTGTCAGCCGATATTAATGAAAAATAAAACACGTTTTTATAATATTTTAATTGTAAAAATTTTACACGAAAAATATAATAATAATAAAATAATAAAGAAAATATAAAATGCTAAAGTAGTAAATGAAGAAATATGTAGCTGAAATAATAAATGAATGTCAAATAACAAATAAATAATGTAATTTTTTTCTCTAAAATTTCTCTATTAATATAAATTTTTCTCTAAAGTTTATTTTTTTTTAATATTCTTTTTTTACATATTATAAAATATATTCTTCCGACTACATTTTACTATTTATATCTAATTCCATTTTATACTATACTTATACTATACTTTATATCAATTCATAAAGATATGTAAATATAAAAATATCTTTTAGGAAATATTGACATAAAAAATTTTTTATGTTAAATTTATGTTAATAAATGAACAAATAATAATTGCATAATAAATACCGAAAATATTATTTATTATTAATTGTCACATTGTTAATTTTCACTCAGTTGGTTTGAATCTTATCGTATTTGGGCTGCTGGACTCGTGGTCGGAGAAATTTGTGAGAAGCCCAGTCACTGGCGACAAATCAAGACGCTATCCAATTGGATGAAAGAACAAAACATACCCGGAATATATGCGATTGATACTCGAGCATTGACAAAAGTTATTCGCGAGAAAGGCACTATATTGGGTAAGATAGTTTTTGGTCAACCACCATCACTTACTCTGCCTATAACACCTCCAATAGAAGATCCTAATAAGAGGAATCTCGTTGCTGAAGTTTCTCAGGTAATATTCCGTTTCATAAATACATTTTTTACGAATTATTTGTATAATATTTTAACTTTATTCGATATTCGGTAATGTATAACGTAACATGGTAGTGTGTATATATTGAATTATGTTATATTGACTTATGAGCAATAACAAATGTATCATATACGAATGCATATTTTTACATATAAAGTTACTAGAGCATTAGTACAATTTAATAAGATTTTTTGTTAGAAACATTTTTCAGATAAAAGTTTATATATATATATATATATATATATATATATATAAGAAATTTGTGAAAAAATGTTTCTAAAAAAAAAAATCCTATTAAATTGTACTAATGCTCTAGTAACTTTACATGTAAAAATAGAAATACGCATTTGTATATGATATATTGTTATATCTGTGATGATATTTGTTATTACTCATAATTCAATATAATAATCAATATAATATACATACACAGGGTGTATGTATATTATTTTAAAAGACTCATTGAAATATCTTTTTATAAAAGCGTTTTAGAGAAAAAGATTTTAAACAAAAGTTATAGGGTTCAGAGGGGGACATCCGATGGTGACCTTACCTTTGTTACAAATGTCCCTTTTTAAGATCATTTAAAGGTCAACTTTTGTTTTTTAAATAGAAACATCCATTTTTTTATTACATATTCTTGTAGCTAAAAGCTCTGCAAGACACTATAATAAACATTATAATAAAGTATTTTTTTAATAAATATTTTCTGAATTATGAATCTTGAATTTGACATGCAATTTGACATAAGTTAAAATACGATGTATCTTTTTTTTTGGCGAACAAAGTCAGAAAATACTTACTAAAAAAATACTCTATTATAGTGTTTTGCAGAACTCTTGAGGTCAGCTATAAAAATAATAAGTAATAAAAAAATGGATGTTTCCATTTAAAAAACAAAAATTGACCTTTAAATGACTTTGAAAAAGGACATCTGTCGCAAAAGTTAAGTTATCATCGGAATCCTACAACTTTTGTTTAAAATGTTTTTTTCTAAAACACTTTTCTGAAGAGATATTTCAATGGATCTTTTAAAATGAGACACTTTGTGTATATATATATATATATATATATATACAATAATCGAATTATATAATATTTTTTAGCCAAATCCAAAAACGTATAATCCGAACGGGCATCCTCGTATATGCGTAATTGATTGTGGATTAAAATACAATCAATTAAGATGTCTGTTAAGACGTGGCGCTCGTGTAGATGTCGTACCATGGAACTACGATTTCAAAATCACCGAATTTGATGGTCTATTCCTTAGTAACGGTCCGGGTGATCCCAGTATGTGCCGCGTAGTCATAGAAAATATCCAAGCAATCTTAGCACAACAAAAGAGAAAACCTATCTTTGGCATATGTCTTGGACATCAACTCTTATCTATAGCCGCTGGTTGCACTACGTATAAAATGAAGTAAGGACTATGCTAATAACATGTGTGGATATCTTTCTTATTAGCAAATTCTGCTAAAAAAACAAAAAGGATAATATCATTAGATCACATTTCTTATCCTAAATATTCTATTTCAATATTCTATTTCAATATCTAATTTCAATATTTCCTTCTATTCTATTTATTTTCAAAAAATTATTGTTTTGTCATGCGCGAATAGTCTTCTTGTTATGTAATATAAAATATAATAATCGATTATTACGAGCAATGCTTGTCACTCGTTTTGTAGCTATGGCAATCGAGGCCATAATCAACCGGCAACGCATCATGTTACCGAACGTTGCTTCATGACTTCACAAAATCATGGGTTTTGCGTCGATGCAACTCGCTTACCACCTGATTGGGAAGTACTTTTTACCAATACCAATGACAATAGCAACGAAGGAGTGGTCCACTCGAATTTGCCGTATTTTTCTGTTCAATTTCATCCAGAGCACACAGCAGGACCTGAAGATCTTGAATGTCTCTTTGACGTGTTCTTAGAGAGTGTAAAGGATGAGATTTATGATTGTTCTCAAATAACTATAAAGGATAGACTCACTCAGAAACTGACTTATCAACCTTCAATTCCAATTGCGACTGAACGACCGAAAAAAGTGTTAATTCTGGGATCGGGAGGACTGAGCATCGGTCAAGCCGGAGAATTCGATTATTCGGGTTCGCAAGCAATTAAAGCGCTGAAGGAAGAATCAATACAGACTCTTCTAATAAATCCTAATATTGCTACAGTGCAAACATCAAAAGGCATGGCCGACAAAGTATATTTCTTGCCGATAATACCGGAATATGTTGAACAGGTAAATCGGATTGCACTTAAAAAAGGTAGATAGATTTTGAATGCGCAAAAACTCGGTAAACTTTGATTGATATTAACACAAACATGGATTAAATATGAAATTCTTTTATGAATTATTATTTATATTATATTATTAGTAAAAACTTAGTATATTATCAATAAAAACTTATCTAATATTTAATTAAGATAATATTTACTTTATAATATATTTTAGGTGATACAATCCGAGAGACCGGATGGTGTGCTATTAACATTCGGTGGACAAACCGCCCTCAATTGCGGTGTCGAGCTTGAGAAGAACGGTGTATTTGCAAAATATAATGTTAAAATTCTAGGGACGCCAATTGAATCCATTGTACAAACTGAAGACAGAAAAATATTCGCAGATCGTATCAGCGAGATAAATGAAAGAGTCGCACCAAGTGCTGCTGTATATTCAGTCCAAGAGGTAAATGACTGTGTTTAAATATTTAAATTGTTTTCGTCTACAATAAAATTTTCAATTACTGAAAATTAAATAAAGCTTTTTGAACTAGGTAATACAGATAATTTTATAATATTTTTAACAATTTTATAAAATGAAAATATATGTTAAATAAATATGGTAAATGTATCGTTAACGCACATTTTTTTTAATAAAATTTCTTTAAATAGGCGTTAGAAGCTGCTGAAAAATTGGGTTATCCTGTAATGGCACGCGTTGCATTCTCATTAGGAGGTCTTGGATCAGGTTTTGCTAATACAAAAGAAGAACTTGGAACGCTAGCGCAACAAGCCCTAGCTCATTCCAGTCAATTAATAATCGACAAATCTCTAAAGGGTTGGAAGGAAGTGGAATACGAGGTTGTCCGTGATGCATACGACAATTGCATTACAGTATGCAATATGGAAAATGTCGATCCACTCGGCATACACACTGGCGAATCGATTGTTGTCGCGCCGAGTCAGACATTATCTAATAAAGAGTACAATATGTTGCGAACTACCGCTACTAAGGTCATCAGACATTTCGGTATTATCGGAGAATGTAACATTCAGTATGCACTTAATCCATTTTCCGAAGAATATTATATCATCGAAGTAAATGCTAGACTATCCAGAAGCTCGGCTTTAGCTAGCAAGGCTACCGGCTATCCTCTAGCTTATGTCGCTGCTAAATTGGCTCTTGGAATACGTTTGTCAGATATTCGTAATTCTGTCACTGGAGAAACAACAGCCTGTTTTGAACCAAGTCTTGATTATTGTGTCGTTAAAATACCCAGATGGGATCTCAGTAAATTTCATCGAGTTAACACGAAGGTATTGAATAATTCTCTTGTTCAATCGCGAATTTAAGAAATTTTATTAATTTGTTTTATATTCAAACTATTAAATAAAACATTGAATAAAACATTGATAAAAGACAAGCTTTTAGATATGAAATTTTGACATTGTCGTCAGTTTTATTATGAAGAAAAAATCGATACTAAAATTTATAATGGAAGAAACATTTATAATTACTTTAAAATATTTTGTATATTATTATTTTTATTATATCAGATCTATATTCAAACATTTATGTTGCATAATATAGTAGAACATAAGAATCGCAAAAGATAGAAGCTAATTAATAAAAGAAAAATTATAAATATTTATTTTTTAATGTTGTTTATTTTAAAATATATGTATGTTATTTTTTAAATATAATATTGGATGTTTTTCAGATCGGTAGTTCTATGAAAAGTGTGGGTGAAGTGATGGCGATTGGTCGTAAATTCGAAGAGGCTTTCCAGAAAGCGTTGAGAATGGTTAATGAGAATGTAAATGGTTTTGATCCTTACGTGAAAACGATAGATGATGAAGAATTAGAGAAGCCAACTGATAAGAGGATGTTTGTTCTCGCATCTTCGATCAAAGCCGGTTATACAATTGATCGATTGTATGAACTTACCAAGATAGACCGCTGGTTCCTCGAGAAAATGAAGAACATCATTGATTATTACGATCTTCTAGAAAATATCGATCATACGAAGCTTTCGCATGATTTGCTGCTGGGTGCAAAGCAAATCGGTTTCTCAGATAAACAAATTGCTGATATGGTGAAGAGTTCCGAATTAGCTGTCAGAATACAAAGACAAGAAAACAATATCCGACCAATGGTTAAGCAGATTGACACAGTGGCTGCTGAATGGCCAGCTAATACAAATTATCTTTATTTAACATATAATGGCACTACTCATGATGTGGAATTTCCTGGCGGATATACAATGGTGATAGGTAAAATGTTATAAATAATTATCATTGTACGTTGGTTAATCGCAACAAAATTTTTCTTATAAAAAATGCAATTTTGTTAATTATTGCATTAAAATCAATTTTTACTAGTATGATTGATTTAAAGTCATTTATAATGGAAAGAAACGTATCTAATAAGGAAATCAGGATTAATATAAACATAATTTAAAAATAAGTACATACATGATACATATGTGCGTGCGTGCGTGCGTGCGTGCGTGCGTGCGTGCGTGCGTGCGTGCGTGCGTGCGTGCGTGCGTGCGTGCGTGCGTGCGTGCGTGCGTGCGTGCGTGCGTGCGTGCGTGCGTGCGTAGCGTGCGTGCGTGCGTTGCGT